AACATCACTAGAGGCAAAAACAATAAAACTAAAACTGCCCTACTTCGGGCACGTCATAAGAAGGCAAGGTTCCTTAGAAGAGGCAATAATGCTGGGAAAAATAGAAGGCCGCAGGAAACAGGAAGACCAAATGTAACAGGGACTGACCCCTTAAAAGAAGCCATAGGCATGAGTCTACTCATAGGAGCTGAGTAGGGCTGTTGAGGACAGGACACTGTGGACAGCACTCATTCACAGGGTCTCCAGGAGTTGGAATTGACTCAATGGCACATCACACACACACACACACACACACACACACACACGATATATTGTAAAGAGTAAGCCTCCTTCTTGTGCATGTCTTCCAGTCGCTCAATTTCCCTACTCCTATTACTGGTTTCTTGGGTACTTGCTTATGCATGTGCAAACAAATACTGCTGCATATCCTTTTTCTTTACATAAAGAGCAAGCAGCAATGTTCTGCAACTTTCTTTTTTCATGAATAATACATGTTTAGAGTTTATTAATAAAGATCTGCCTCATTATTTTTTAATGATTGTATAACATTCATTTGGAAATAAGACTTATAAAATAAGCTATTTTTTTTTGGCCTGGCTGGCATGGCTCAGTGGTTGAGCATCGACCTATGAACCAAGAGGTCATGGTTTGATTCCAGTGTGGAAAGTGCAGGAGGCAGCCAATCAATGATTCTCTATCATCATTGATGCTTCTATCTCTCCCTTTCTCTCCCTTCCTCTCTGAAATCAATAGAAATATATTTTTAAAAAACAAAACAAAAAAAGACTACTTTTTGGAATAGTTTTAGATTTACAGAAAAATTGAGAAGGTAGTGCCAAGATTCCCATATATCATCGTGTCCAGTTTCTTCTATTATTAATGGCATACATTTGTATGTTCCATTTGTTATAATTAAGAAAATAGTATTGATATACTGGCATTAATTAAGTCCATCGTTTATTCAGATTTCCTTAGTTTTTGCCTACGATCTTTTTCTGTTCTAGAATCCCATCCAGGCTACTGCTTTACATTTACATGTCATGTTTTCTTAAGGTTCCCATGGCTATGGCAACCTTGTTTTTGATGACTTTGACAGTTTTGAGTATTGGTCAAGTATTTTGTAGGATGCTCCTCTACTGGAATTTGTCTTTTTTGTTTTTTATTATTAGGTTGGGGCTAAGGCTTAAATGGCAAAAAGTGCCATTTTTTTCATATCATCGCAGGGATAAATACCACCAACATGATTTATC